GCGGCAGGTAGGCATGGTGCTGGAGAGGTAGCTAAGAGCTACATCCTGATCTGGAGAGGGAGAGGGAGAGAGAGAGAGAAACTCTGGTTTAATTCCCAAAACTGAGATGACAGCTCACAACTGTCTGTAACTCCAGTTCCAGGGAATCTCACACTCTCACACAGACATCCGTGCAGGCAGAACCCCAATACACATAAAATAAAAAATAAATAAATCATTAAAAATAATAAAACCTCAAAGCCCACCCCCCAGTGACACACTTTCTCCAACAGGACCACACCTCCTAATTCTTCTCAAGCAGTGCCTCTCCCTGGTGACTGAGCTTGCAAATGTATGAGCCTGTGGGGCATTCTTATTCCAACCACCACAAGCACCTCGGGAATTTAAAAGCTGGGCCTTTCCCCATTAGAGAAATGAAAAGGCAGATGAACCTGTATTCGCGAGCGTCTATGAAGAGGCATAATGCCTGGCCTTCTAGAGGATGCAGTCCCTGCTGCCCTAAAGCCCCTCCGTTGGGGAGACACTATCCCACAAACAGTTCAAATAAACAATGGAGACTTAAAAAGCATTCCAAACTAGCTGTTATTAATAGATGAGAACAAAGCAAATCTGTTTCTGCAGGGATTCTCCTCAAAACACTAGCATCGAGTGAGCTAAGGCAGCGAGCGACCACTGTTTCCTGTGCTCTGGGGGTTTGGTTGTGAATCCACCTGCCCTGGCAGAGGTCACTCACTGTTGGCTGGGTGGCGAGGAGATGTTTTAAGCATGCTAGAACTCTTTAAAATGTATTTGTTTTAGGTTGCACATTTTTCTTTTATGTATGTGATGTTTGGCCTGCATGTCTGTCTGTATGTGCACCACATTCATGACCTAGCTGATCCAAAGAAGGTGTTGTGTTCCCAGGAACTGGAGTCATGGATGGCTTTGAGTTACTGTGTGGGTGCTGGGACCTGAACCCAGGCCTTCTCCAACAGCAACAAATGCTCTTTAACTGCTGAGCCCTCTCTCCAGTCCCTGCCCGTTCATTTGAGTAGCTTAGGTTGGCTTTACTTTGTAGTCAAGGCTAACCTGACTTTCCTGGTTCCCTTTCCTCCACCTTCTGAGTACTGGGCTTGTAAGTGAACACTGCCACACTGGGTTGATGCTGTGTTGGGGGGTGGGACCCAGAGCTTCTGCGAGCTTGGCAAGCATTCTACCAACTAAGCTGCAGCCCCAGCCCTCTGAAACATGATGTTATCAATCAAATAGAAACCACCCCTCACCCGTGCAGCTCAAAGGCATTCCCGGTTGTGAATGGAATAGATGGAGGGAAAGAAAGCAAGTCTTGCCCGGTGGATTCAAGGCCGTTTCTTAGGGAGCACTGGAAATACCTGCCTATCAGCCCATCCCTCAGCCCCCAGAATGGGGTCGTTTTGAAATGCCGTGGGTGGCAACTTAGGGCGGCTGTGTCTGCCGTATGCCCAAGTCCCCATGGGCAGGTAATCCAGGGCACAGTCACAGCTGTCACTGTGATAGAGGCACCAGGCTCAGGTCTCATAATGTGCCCACCGGGGAATGAGAAGGTAAAGCCAACAACATCTAATTGAATCACATTGTCTTTTAAACCCAGCAGGAGGCTTGCCTCTCAGTTTCTACAGCCTAAGGTGAGCAGTTTCTGCGGCTGCTCCTGCCTGTTGGTTCATCGTTTTATTCGAGAAGCGCTTATTCCGATTTTTGTAATTGTGAAAATAACATGCTTATTAAAGTATTTTAAAAATGAGAACAGAATAAAAATATGCTTAATACTACTGGTTACATTTTGACAGATTTCTTTCTGCTGTTTTAAAAATGTACTATAGAAAAGGGTGAGAGGGTACATAGCTGTCATTCCAGCACTCAGTCAAGCCGGAGGACAGGAAGTTTGAGGCCACCCTGGGCTCCACAGCAAATATTGGCCAGCCTGGATTAAACTGAGAGTTCCTATGCCAAATGAGAATGCAAACAAGATTACTGCCGTAACGTTTACATTGTTGGAGCCTTTGTCCTGCCCTTTTCAGGGTGGTGTAGGGGGTTTTTGAGTTTCTGGGGTTGATGTAGGCTCTAGACAGTGTCAAGGTATGACAAATGAGCATAAGTCATCTGCCATTGGCTAGGTATATACAAAGCTGTGTGTTTCATTTGTGAAGACACATGTGCCTCCTAGACCATGTACGGTCCACCTCACAGCCATAATGTCACCTTTGAATATGCTGGGCCAGAATGAATTTATTTATTTATTTATTTATTTATTTATTTATTTGGTCGGGAATGGCTCACCTTGTTTCCAAGCTTCTGATCCTGGGGTGAGCCAGGTAAGATGCGTACAAAGAAAGAGGCCAGGCCTGATTTCTTATGCTAGCCTGTTATTGTTGGCCATGGTCTTTCCTTGGTCTGGTCAAGGTAGATGTGTTGGCTTTGGCAATTAGGCATCCTGACTTGAGTTGCACAGTCCTTCTCACATCAAAAGAGGTACTAGCCAGATACTGACCATTCACACCTCAGAGACAAATTCAGCAATGTGGCACGGGGGGAACAGAGTGGGGTGTGAGGGATAAGAGAAGACAGACATCATGTTTAAAAGTAGTCTCAAACTGGCACTGGGGATGTAGCTCAGTTGATAGAATGCTAGCTTGGAATACACAAAACACTAAATTCAACCCCCATGTTCTTTGTAGACCAGGTATGATATGAATATCTGTTATGTCACCACCTAGAGGTAGAAACAAAATCAGCTCAAGGTCATGCTTGACTGCACAATGAAGTCCAGGCAGGTTTGGGCTACATGGAGCTTTCTCAGAAAAAAAAAAAAAAAAAGAAAGAAAGAAAAAAAAAAGAAAGAAAAGAAAAGAAAAAAAGCAATTCAAACCAAACCAAACCAAACCAAACCAAACCAAACCAAAGTAGCCTCAGGTCTGTTCAAGTCTATGTATGGAGAAAAGGTCTGTGGAGTCAGATATTTCAGAAGGACAGGAAACTGTTGGCCTATGCACACGGCAAGACAGTGATTAGCTCTTGCTCTTGGGTCTCCTGTCCCAGGCATCTGTGCCAGGCTAGGTTAGCTGCAGGACAAGCAGGCATGGCATTGGGGCAGTGGTAGCCAAAAATGGGAAAATTTCAGGGTCTTTAAAACTGCAGTTAAGGGGGTTGGCTAGATAGCTCAGTGGCTAAGGCTATTTGCTTTCAAGACCAGTGAAACCTCAACTCAAAATAAAATACCCCTCCCCCCCAAAATAAAAGCAAACCTCAGGGAATTATGGTACAATCAGAATAGTACATGATCCTGTCTTGCCTGATTGTAGACTCACTGTGCCAGAGATCAGATCGATCATCAGATGGGAGGCGTTGACCATGGGAAGATCTGGAAATACAACCTGGGAAGGGACTTAATCTAGAGGCTTATTCTTGGCCTCTCATTCAGCTGCAATGGAGATCCTCCTGTGCCCCTCCCCTCCACGCCAGAGTCCTGGTGCAAACCAGCCAGGTGACTAAGCAGAAGAACAGACTCTTGAACATGTCCTTCCATGGACATGTTTTATGAACTCACGCCATAGGGGATTTTATATCATGGAACCAGTGCCAGATATTGGGAAGGGTTGAGGCTGAAAGAGCCTGCCTAGCAGTCAGACGTGTCCTTCCATCTTTCCCAAAGTTCATCTGGTTGGGATTTCTGTAGCTCAGGCAAGCGGGTGGCATCAGCCTCAGTGAAGGGGGTGGCAAAAGTCTCCATTCCGTCATAATACCTTCATTGCTGGCAGTTTTGACTGGGGGCGTCGGCCATGCATGGATGGTTCTTAATAGATGCCAAGTCAGTTTTAGGCTGAGCTGTTTCATTAAAGAAAACCTCACAAAAGTGATTGTGTAACCTTAAAAGTATAAGTGCTGTATGATTTCAAATTTCCACATGGGCTTAATTCTATGTTGTCTAAATGGTAGAGATTCTTTGACACCTAAGAACTGGCTGGCTGAACATCATAGCTTGTTCGACATGAGTTACTTTTTCTCCCCCCCTTAAATGTAATTTGTTTAAAAAAGTTCTTTGTCCAGGAAAGTGAAATGTTCACATTTTGAAAGTCTAAAAATAAAACACCGGAGAATTGATGCCAAAACAATGGTGTCAGTCAGAAATGCTTTCTTGATCCAGTGTCGGAATGGGACTAATTACAGAATTAGCTTGTGGGTACCAGGCACCATTGTTTAAAGCCAATCAACCACAGGCTTGAGAGACCTACTTCTAAAATCTTTTTAAAACTCCGGTTTTCTGATGAGTTGTGACAGCCAGACACTGAGCATATGTAGGGTTTGGTGTGAATGGTAACCTTTTATAATGAAGCTTTTTAATTGAGTGTATACACGCCATTCTCTTGATGGATGAAGGGGCCCCTCTGAATCAGCTTTCATTGAACATGCATTGTTTTTATTTTTGATTCATTTGGAAAAAGGCCTTTTTAATTGCTCACCCGGATCAGATTTACTAAGGTGGCTTATTGAACATTTCTACGGGGAAGTACAGGATTGAGTAAATCGATTTAGGAAATTGCTTTGGGAACTGGGATTGTGGCTGGGTGTCTGAGCACTGATCTAGCATGTGGGAGGAGCTGGGTTCTAGTCCTGGTATTTCAGGAGAGGTGGGGCAAGGGCTGTGCTTCTGGAAAAGCAGTTTTCAAGCTCAAGATGCAGATGGAGAATGAGAAAACTTCTGGAACCTTCATTTGATGGTCCTCGTTGCTCTGTCTGGTAGAGATTAGCAGGGCTTATTTAGGAAGCATTTTTTGTTTTCAAGGCTCTTTCTCCCTTCTTAGGAAGCAATCTCTGTTTATGTCATGTCTGAAGTTAGAAGCATTTACAGTTAGAGGTGATCAGTGTATCCACACAACTTGTAAGCCTCCTGCTGTCTTAAATAATCAGAGTTTGAAGTCCTTTAAGTTCTAGCTATACACTGTTTACTGATTTAGCACTTACTGTTTTGTTTTTTTTCTTAACAGATGTGAATTACTAAGAAGAAAATGGCCCAACAGGACACTGTATTTCCTTCTCTTGTCACCCAGGAAGGGTATACTATCTGGAAAATATGCATCTAAGGTATACTTTTTCTTTCCACCAATCCCACGAGTGTTCCTTGAGGGTGGGAGGGTCGTGAGAGATGAAGCCTTGTAGCTGTTACATTATAAAGGGTCATCTTATTTAAGGGCAACAAAAGTGTTATCGTGTGCTCCTCATGACTCCTGTAGACCACTTCATTACCCCAAAAGGCAGAGATTTCACAGTGGCCCTGCAGTAGCTTCTAACTTCCTGCTAACAGCGAAATCACCATGGAGCTCCAGGCAAATGTTCCCATTAGCTCTTTGAAATCAGAAGTTGCATATTGGATGCCTATAGGGAAATACTGGCCCACAGACATACATTACGCAGCCTGCATAGTATAAGCTCTTTCTAAATGAGCCATCATTTGAAGAGTGAGGTGATCTTACAGCCACATCTGATTTTCCTGGCTCATTTTGAAGTATCATTTTGTTGGGGGGGGGGGGAACAGGCCTCATTTCTAGGTGGTCTTTTTATGGGTGGGACAAAATCATGGCACCCCAGGGGACATTCTAGTTCTTCAGGGTTTCCAGCCCTCTCAAGTGTGCCCTGTGTGGTGCTTGGCTTTCATTTCTGATACTGTCTGGCTGCTATAGGCACTGGAGCACACGGTCACTGCTTTAGGGGAAGGGGGAAGGCAGTGGTAGGTCAACAGACCTTTGGGATCAGCTGGCTCTGGCTATGTCAGCTAATATAAGGGGAACTGTGGTGTGTCCATTCTGACAGCCTCCTGCTTCCTGGAGGTCACAGCCTGCTAGCTAGCAGCCCACTTAATTCCATGGGCACAGTCACCCTGAAGTCCCGTCTGGCTCCCAAAGAAAAACTCTTTTGCATAAGAAACTTTTCCTTTAATCCCATTCGGTTTACGGAGACAGGCAATTTGTAGTTCTTTCTTTGAGGAGTCTTCTGTCTGGGCTTGGAAGATTATCCTCTCTCCTCCAGCAACCCTTAACACCGTGGCTCCCTCCTGCAGGCGAGTGAGGACCATGCCCCGACACAGCCAGTCCCTGACCATGGCACCCTACTCCTCCGTGAGCCTGGTGGAGCAGCTGGAAGACAGGATCCTCTGTCACGAGAAAACCACAGCAGCACTGGTAGAGCACGCCTTCCGCATCAAAGATGACATCGTCAGCAGTTTGCAGAAGATGCAGAACAAAGGGGGAGGTGACCGCTTGGCCAGGCTGTTCTTGGAGGAGCACATTCGAAACATAACCGCCATTGTAAAGCAGCTCAATCGGGACATTGAGGTAAGGCGTGTGCAAGCCAGTGCGGACCATGCTCATCCTCCCAGACCTGGTCCGTGTCGGGCCACCCAAGTCTGAGTCCCAGCTGTCCGATAGTTGTGTATACATGCCTGTGTGTGTGTACTTGTGTGTTGTCTTTGCGTTTCTTCCCCATTTGCTCCCCACCTGTCCTCATTTCATTTCCGTTACTATGATAAAATACCCCAACAGAGAGCAGCTTAGGGGACAAAGGGTTCTCCATTTTAGCTCACAGTTCCAAGTTACTGTTCGTTACTGTGGGAAAGGTAAGGCAGGACCTTCAAGCGCGCGCGCGCACACACACACACACACACACACACACACACACACACACACACACGCACCCAATGAGAATAGCCCCTCACTGAGACTCTGTGATTCTAGGTTATGCCAAGTAAACAACTGAACTATCACACCACCTTCCTTTTTTGAGACAGGGTCTCTCGCTGACTCTGAAGCTGGCCTCTGGCTAGCTGGGCTGGTCAGCAAACCTCAAGAGTCTGCCTGTCCCTGCGCTTGGCTTTGGGGTTACAGGGATACACCAACATACTCAGCTCTTACAAGGGTGCTGGGCATCCAAACTCAGCTCAGCACTTTGCACAGCACTCACTTAACCCGCTGAAGCATCTCTCCAGCCCTCCCCCTCTCCCTTTTTGTGATGTGGGCTCACTGTGTAGCATGGGCTGGCCTTGAACTTGCAACTTGTAGTGGTCCTCCTCCTGTCTTACAAACGCCAGAACTTCAGGCCTTTGACACCAGACCTGAGCTGTCTGTCTTGTCTATTATTAGTAGATATTTTTAGAACAGGATCTTATGTAGCCCAGGCTGGCCTTGACCTCTGTGTCACCAAGGATTACCTTAAACTCCTTATACTCCCGTTCCTACCTCCCAAGTGCTGGAATTATAAGCGTGTGCCACCCTGCATGTACATGCTAGGAAAGCACTCCCATCTACCGAGACACATCCCCAGCCCTGGATCTGCTTTAGGACAGGCTCTCATGTGTCCCAGGCTGACTCCAAACTCACTAGCTAGCCAAGGTTATCCTTGAACTCCTGACCTTCCTGTACCAAGTCTGGAATTGAGACTATGCACCACAGGGCTGGAGAGATGGTTGCACAGATAAAAGCTCTTGCTGCCTTTGCAGAGGACCTGGGTTTGGTTCCCAGCATCAATGGTGGCTCACAACCTCCAGTACCTCCAGGTTCATGGGATCCGATGCCTTCTTCTGACCTCCTCAGACACCAGGCACACACATGCGCATTCAGGCAAAACACTTCCACACGTAAACTAAAAATTAATAACAATTTCAAAAATAATATTGTCTTATCTTTTTTTTAATTTTTAAAAAATTACAGTTTATTTGGGCGTGTATGTGTGTTCACATACGTGGGTGCGTGTATTGTGGGGCATGGATGGAGGTCAGAGAGCACAATTCTGTCCTTCTATTATGTCCTGGGGATCAAGTCATCACCCTTAGCAGCAAGCCTCTTTACCTGCTGAGCCATCTCATCAACCCTGCCTTGTCTCTTCTTAATGATCACCAAGGAAACTGCCTGCGGGAAGATCCAAGTTATATTAAACTTACTTGAGTATTTGATGGCAATTTCTGTCAATGCTGTTTGTGTTTATTCTAAATTTACCTTGCTGATTATTGAATTATTCTGTTTTGTTTGGGTCTCAGTGGAGACGGAGAACTAGACAAAAAGTTTTCCTATGAACCCCTTCCCGCCTTTGAAGACAGTTGTTAGCGTGGTTACTGGGTCAGCCCTGGCTATTCCCGACGAAATGTTTCTGTGCTGAAATGACACAGCGCCAATTATATCATCCAGGCAGCTTAGGCGGTTGAATGGCTTTTCACACTCCTCTTTATTTGCTCTGACATGAAACTAAGACAAGGTCAAGACTGTCTATTAAGTTTAACTCTAGTTTTGAATAAACACAGGGAACATGCAATTGAGTTCAGAGAGCTTAAGACTGGTGAGGCATAGCCTGGGTTTCCGTTTCTGCACAAGGCCGGTGTCTTTCACATGTAATTTTCAGTAACGTGAATAAAATGTGGATGGACAGACAGGGAAGCCTTTGTTCCTGTTGTGTTTTAATCATACTTCCCTAGGCAGATTTGTATTTTTGTCTGTTCGTTTGTTTGTTTGCTGGGAGGCAAGATCTCATGGAGCCTAGGTTCTTAGTAGCCTAGGATTGACCTGCGGCTTCTGCCTATTGAGTCCTGGGGTTACAGGTGTGTACACCACACCAGTTTATGTAGCTTAGACTGAGCCCAGGACTTCATGCATACTAGGTCAGCATGAGATCAACTGAATTACATCTTCCAGACCCTGACTTTCTACTCTTTAAAATAGATTTATGGAAGCGTAATTTAAAAACCATGAAAATCTTCTGACCAGTACACAAATTAAATGAGATTTAGCAAATGTATAAAATTGCACAACCATTAACACTCTCTCATTTTAGGACATTGCCATTACCCCTCCCCAAATTCATAGGAATGCTATTCCTGCTCTAGCCTCCAGCAATTCATTTCTTCAAGCATATACTTTCTCTCCCTCCCTCCCTTCCCCTCTCCCTCTCTCTCCCTTCTCTCTCCTCTCTCCCTTCCTCTCCCTTCTCTCTCCCTCTCTCCCTCTCTTCTTCTCCCTCTCTCTCTCTCTTTCTTTCTCAACAACATCACATGTTTCCCAGGCTGGCCCCAAACTCATTCTGTGGCAGGAAGATCACATACAAAGCTTTGCAAATGTAAGGCCAGCAACTCTTCCCCGCTGAGCTGCCTGCCCAGCCCATAGGCCCACCTTACCTTCTTTTTCTCTTTTATGGTTCATGCTTTTAGTGGCATGGTCTAAAAACTGTTTGATTACTAGCCGAAGACTGCAGAGGCTTTCTCCTGCTTCCTTTACTAAACTTTTAGTTTTCATTTTGATTTCTGTGACCCACTCTGAGTTAGCGTTGGTAAATGCGGTGAGGTGAGGTAAGGCGCTTGCTGAGTAGAACAGACTGTGAGCTTCTCAAGTAAAAGCTTGTCCTAGTCATCTTCCCATTGTTCAAGCACAGCGTCTGAAGGCGGTTGGGAAGGCTGTCCGTGCCCATTTATGCTGCTGTAATAAAATACTACAGGGCGGATGATTTATAAAGAATAGGAATTTATTTAATATGTGTGTGCACTTATGGAAATGTGTCTATGTGTAGGTGGGCGTGAGGACATGTAGGGAGTCATTCTTGTCATCCTTCAAGCTTTGTGCTTTTGAGACAGGGCCTCTTACTGACCTAGAGCTCCCTAGTAGGGTAGGCTAGATGGCCAGTGAACCCGATGGGTCCTTTGGCCACCATCGCCCCGTGTTGAGATTACAACTACTCAACTACCACATCCAGATTTTTTTTAAAAAGATTTACTTATTTATCATTTTTCACAATATCCTGTCTTCATGCCAGAAGAAGGCATCAGACCTCGTTATAAACGGTTGTGAGCCACCATGTGGTTGGTGGGATTTGAACTCAGAACCTTTGGAAGAACAGCTAGTGCTCTTAACCTCTGAGCCATTTCTCCAGCCTGTGGGTTCTGGAGACCAACTTCCAGTCCCCATCTTTAACACAAATACTTCAGTGACTGAGCTGTCCCCTAGTTTTCCGGGGTCCTTTTAAAAATGTCCAGGCTTGGCTCTTGAAGGTGCTGTCCCTGTGACTCAGCCTCCCATAGTCTCACCTCCTACCACAGGCACAATGAGGTCTGAGCAACACCGTGGATGGGAGGGCGACGCCCTCCTCTAATTAGACCCAGAACAAAGCTTTGTGTAGTGAACAGACCCTCAGTTCAGAAGGCAGGGTAGGGGCTGCTAGAAAGGAATGCACCGCCTCTTCCTTGAGCCATAAAAAAGACCAGCTCTGATGCTAGTCAACAGGAGTGCTGAGACTAAAGCCATTCCCACTCCCCAATGTACTTTTTCCCCTTTTCCGTCTTGCTCCTTGGGAGCTCTTCTAGAACCCCGAACTTTTATCTGTTTGTCTGTATTTAAGACAAGGTCTCTTGTAACCCAGGTTGGTCTTGAAGTAACTACGTAGCAGAGAATGACCTTGAATTTGTGGTCCTCTGCCCTCCACCTTCCAAGTACTGGCTGCACAATCCAAAGGGTAACATTTCAGAGTTAGCTTCATAAACTCAGGGTTTTCAGTTGGTAGGTGGAGAGCCAGCCTAGTGTGTGGGAAGCCCAGAGTTTGATCTCAAACACAGTAGAAACTGGGTGTGGTGGTACACGCCTGTGATCCGAGCCCTTGAGAAGCAGAGACAGGAAAATCAGGAGTTCAAGGTCATCTTTGCCTGTATAGCAAGTTCATGGCAGGCCTTGGTTACATGCTACCCCATCTCCAAAAAAGTAAAATAAAATAAAAATAAATAAAGCTAATTTAATAAATAAAACTAATTAAATACATACAAAATTTACCACAACAGTGTAGTGAATTTGAAATCAGTTTTGTTTTCTATGTCTGAAACACACTTTATGAAATGATATTTCTTGCTTCAACCAGACTGCACTCTTTTTTATTTCCATGCATTTTTAGAGTATACAAATTTTGCAAATGAAAAGATGATTTCTGTTGTAGAGGTGGAAAACTGAATAAAATCTAAGTTGGGCAGAAAATTTACTTTGGGTATCCAAATGTTTACCTTCTTGTCACTGGTAATAACTATGCATCAGGCTGGAGTAACAGCAAGGGAATTTAGAAACTTAAGATTCCGCTATGGAATGCCAATTATATGGATTCGGATATATTTTTAAACTAAGCATGTTTGCCCAAACATGAAGAAGCTTGATAAGACATTCAAATTGTTGCACGGCAGCCCAACTTCCTCCAACAAAAATCAGGCTACAATCGTCAGTTTGGGCTGCCTCGACAAATTGCTACAGGCTGCATGGCTCAAAGAGCAGAGATTTATTACTTGCCATTCTAGAGAGCAGGAGATTCAAGGCCCAAAGCC